GGCTGATGTTGTTACTATCTCTGTATTGTATACTGTTCTTTGTGTACTTGTTGTACCATTGTTCTTTAATTATAATAATAATAATAATAATAATAATGCATTTTATTTATAAAGTACCTTTTAGGATACTCAAGGACACTGTCCAATAGAAAAAAGTAAAATGAAATAAAAAACTGTAGATACATATAAAATATGACTGGAACTCACCATGTTTGTGCATGCTAAAAAAAATGAGGTGCTGAATTTATTTAATAAACAAGTTATGTCAGCTAGTTGTACTGGACCATTTTCTGTTCTTACAGAAGGCACTTCAATTTTGTTTTCCAGGAAAACAGTAGCATGGAGGAACGTCTTTCTTTATCATGACTTTTGGGTTTTACTGAGTTCTTATGGACAGTAGCCTACTGTTATTTTCTCAGGGCTAAATTATGTTTTCTAGAAATGTTAGCTCCATTGTTTTTACCCAAGTAAAATAAAGGGACCAACAAGATTTTGATTTAGTTAAATAAAGATTTTTTAAAGCTTCTGCTTTATGTACTAAAACAATTAGTACTTGTACCTTTTACTTTCAGATTGTGAGAAGGTTTTCAAGCAAGTGAGCAAGTGCTTTTCTTATCAGGGAATTTTATTTTTACCAAAGTCATTTTCTGTATTTTTCCTTTCATATACAGTATTCACCTCTGTAATTTTTTTTAACATGATTGCTTTCTAAACACATTTCTTTAAAATTAATTTAGGTAACCTCCTCGTGCACCGACTGGTTCTATTTAACAGGTTAGATGAAGCCAGTGCACAGCACTTGTTTGGCATGATCTTTCTTCAGGCTCACATAGTAAATAAGACTGGGCTGCGATGGGAGGTGGATTTGGGTCATTGATGCAGACTTTTACAAGATCCAGGGGAGGGGGAACTGAAGCATAATATTAACATCACAGCTCCTTAGATTCTTTGAAGTCATTACAAAAATAGAAGAGTAAATTTACTGCAACCACAAGCAACAGAAGCTGGAAATATACTGTAAATAAAGGAAGGTCCATGTTATTCCTGTCATAAAACTAAAAAACATCTAAGGACTGGTCTCTATGCAACAAGAATTTAGTCTCACATGTTCGTCTTTCCTCAGATTTTGACAATGGATGAAGTCAGTAAGATTGGGAAAATCAGTAAACAGTGGACGGGGCTGCTGCGGGAGGCGTTCACAGACTCAGACAACTTTGGTATCCAGTTTCCCATGGATCTGGACGTGAGAATGAAAGCTGTAATGATTGGCGCATGTTTTCTCATTGTAAGTGGAGTATCTTTTTTTTAATGTGCTCATAGTTGTTAGCATGATAAAAATATAGAGTGAAGATGAGCTGTTTAATTAGGATCTTGTATTGGATGTAATTTAGAGATTCTCACATTGTAATTTTGGTGAAGCTGTCTGTACAGTGTGGCTAACACAGACACCATAGACCCAGTGACCCTTCGCTCTCAAGGAACATGTGTTTCATGCCTTCAGTCATCAGTGAATGATGGTTCCTTCTAATTAAATTACCACTTAGTTTGCATTTAGTTGCACATTATGTGATGTTTATTTATTTATTTATTTATTGAAACTGACACTAATAATCAGGTTGATATATTCCCTACTTCCCTAAATTAGTTTTAGTTTTTGGCTAATTGTAAACAGTCTTCTTTTTTTTTTACAGGATTTTATGTTCTTTGAGAGCACCAACTAGAAGAACAGGATTTTCATTTTAACATTCCTGGAAGAACAAGGCCACGAAGCCATGATGATCAGTCCCAACGCTGTATTAAAACAACCTTCGCTGGATAGCATAAAGAGAGTATTACGATGTGCCCACATTTTCTTATATTGCATGAAACATTGAAAAAGAAGGTTTTCCAAGGCTTAGCTGCTCAGGTTTGTTGTAAAGTCACGTTTCTGGATTGTCAGTGCACACAGTTCAGTTTTCTGTTTGCCTTTTATGTTGTGGCATTGTTGTGAATACTTGTGTGTTTATAAAACTGATCACACCTGGGATAAAATCTTTATGATTATTATTATTACCCACAAAATTTTTCCATTGTGAAAACATTCATATAAGAAGGACACAAAGCTGGTATATGGTTTGAAGAATGAATTGAGCTTGGTATTGTTTTTATGCAAAGAAACCTGGCCTCGTTAAGAATTTGCTTATGTAGATGTTGATTTAACAAATTCTATGTTTGTAGTTATCTTGTGTGAGATTTTAATGACTCATGTAAAGTAGAAGTTTGTAGTTTCAATATTTGGCACCCCGTTTATCTTGTTAAAATTTGGTCTTTGTAACAAACTGTAGATTTGAAGCAGTGGTTTTGTGCACTACTATATGAGTGTTTGCATGTTGGTGAGCTTTGAGTGAACATGTACACATTTTTACTTAACATGAAAATTATTATTTAGGAAATAATACATTTATATTCATTCTATCACACAAAATGCATTAACACTTAACTCGCCTTACTGTGCCATCCACATGTCCACTAGAGGGAGTTAGATATTTACTCAATATCTACTCATCCAAATGAACAGTCCAAATTTGAGGCATAGGTTTTATTTTAACAGTTAGTCTATGATGCCATTGTCCACTTTTTTTTGGACAAACTCAGGTTGAAATGCATACTATTGTATTTTAGTATTGGCTACTGATTTGGAAATAATGTCCCTGCACCTGATTGTTTCTCAAGTGTGTTTTCAAATATTATCATTTTAATATTCATATTATTATTGTGACTTTACACATGTAACTATACTTAGTCAAGCTTAAAAAGTATACCTATATATTTTTCAAGTATAATGCTAATTTCCGTCCTAGCCATTGGTCACCATATGTTTTTTTAATCAAATCAGTAATAACACATACATGCACTATTTCATCAGTAATGCCATTGAGTATATTTTATAGTAATGACAAAATGAGATTTCCAGACTACTTTGATATTTATTCCTCTGTAGACCAAAAAATGTCCATCTGAAGCCATTTAAAAGTCATACAGGTTAAAGACTTTTATTTTTGTAAAAATTATTTAAAAACTGCCAGTCAGAATATCTGAAGATGCCTGTATGAACCTAAGATGTTATGTGGCAAGTGTTTTCTTCTGCCTTCAGTGTACTGACTCATGTTTGTAGAATTACCATAAGTGGATTTAACTCAATTTTTATGAGCAGAAGTTCCTAAGGTGGAATTTTCTGTTTAGTTTTTATGGCATTTGTTTTACAGAAGAAGTACTCAGTTTTTGGCTAATTTTAAACACATTCTTGCAAATTGCCTGATCATTTGGCACGTCTTGTTAGAATTCAGTCCTAGTATAAAGTGCTGGTAATAAATCCTCTGGAGGATCTTTGATTGTGTGTACATTTTATTTTAAATCAGAATGTGAAACAATGGCTTTTTTATTTAATTTATTTATTTTTCTTTTTACAGTTGGAAACCGTAAAGGCTCTTATTCTTCTACTTTTGCACTAATACTGTGAGCTAACAACTTGTTCAGTCATGCAATGAATGAAATTTGAGCTTAGCTTAAAATGTGCAAGTAGTCAATAAAAAAATGACAGTAAAACATGCTGTGGACGTTTCATTGTTCTATGTTGACTTGTTTGATTTTACCTAAATACTAACAGATTTTCAAAATAAGTAGTTTTCTGAATAGCTTATATANTATATATATATATATATACACACATTCCAAGGAAGAGCTGAGGGAGAATGTACATTTTTGGATTTATTGCAGTTGCACTGTAAGATGATAGGTTAGATGAACAGATGAACGTTTCACATTTGGTTTTAATCAGACACCCAGACCACACAAAACTGATGTCAACAATGTCAATGGAGCAGTAATTTATTGGCTGAAAGACCAGAAACTGGAGTAAAACATATTCCAGTTACAGTGTAAGTGTGATTATGTCAAGTGGAACACTTTATTTTCAAGACTGTACTTCTAATTAAAACGCATTAAAGTTTGCATCATATAAATTGTGCAATCTATTTATGAAACAGTCTTGTCAAGCAACTGAACTTAAAGTCTGGGAATCAGGAGACTGAAACCAAAAGGGCAGCAATACTTTTCTATTTATTTGTTATTTTAAGAAAGGAAGCAGACGTGCTGAGTCCCAAGCTGTAAAATAAAACTTATACAAAGCAAAATGCCTTAATGTAGTTCATTTCTGAGTCTGACTAACATATTTTAATTACTTTCAAATCAAAATGCACTAAAAGGCGATGTGAAATGCACTTTTTTTTTTATTATTTTGGGGTCCTGCTTTTGAATTCCAAATACAAAAACAAGAATTTCTGCTATCTGGGTTTCAAACTTACTTCAATAAACACACAGTTGAGTTAACATCTGTGTAAATGCAGCCTAAAAACACCCCATAAACACTATGTGGAAGACAGGGAATGAATATTTACTTTTGCTTTAGTATGCCAAAAGAAAAAAATCTGTCTTGCTGGCCTACATCTCACTGTTCTCCTACTTTAACATTCCCTCAGTTTGTGATGACCTGCTCTTGCAGATTTACGTGTCCCATTTGTGTACGTCTGTGCAGCCTCAGTTGAACTGAATGTTTAAAGGTTAGTTTAAAAGAAAGGTGAGGAGGAAGAAAGTGTGTTAGAAAGTGCATTTTAATCTTAAAGCTGAACTGAGGCAGCATACAATCTATCTGCACATGAATCTTGCTTCTTCCTGTCCTTTGACCAATAGTAGAGGAGATGACTCAAAAAGGGCCGCCCACCTCATTTGTATAATGACACAGAAAAAGTAAAAACAGGAGACAGAAAAATGTAAAAAATAACTTGTGGAAAGTATGTATGTATAAGTAAAAGTAAAAATATGTACAGTATATAAGACAAGACAAGACAAGACAAGACAAGACAAGACAAGACAAGACAAGACAAGACAAGACAAGACAAGACA